CCGCGCAGCACGGTGGCGCAACTGGTAGAGCTGCTGCCTCTCAGCGAGCAGGTCCCTGGTTCAAACCCCGGTCCGGGGGCCTTTCTGGGTGGAGTTTGCATGTTCTCTCCGTGCATGCGTGGGTTTTCTCCGGGTGCTCCGGTTTCCTCCCACAGACCAAAAACATGCATGTTAGGCTGATTGGTAACTCTAAATTGTCCCTAGGTGTGAGTGAGAGAGTGAATGGTTGTTTGTCTCTATGTGGCCCTGTGATGGACTTGCGACCCGTCCAGGGTGTACCCCGCCCCTCGCACAGTGATTGCTGGACATGGGCACCAGCGACCCCCGTGACCCAAAATGGAATAAACGGGTAAAGAAAATGGATGGATGGATGTATAGGCCGCACTTGTGTATAAGCTGCAGGTGCTTTTCTGAACAGTGCCGGTAATAAGGTTGTTTAAAAACAATAATAAAGTAGCCTTCTAGGAAGTCATTGATTGCTATCTTCATCATCCTCCAGCACAGGATTTTTAAAAAACTGCTCTTCTGTCAGCATCCACTGGCAGACTGGAACTGTAATGGTCAGTGGTCCCCCGCTGACCCTAATCTGCTCACACTTCTGCCCCTCATGCCATTGTTTCTGTTTCCCTACTGTGTTTTGCTTATCACCCATCTGTCATTGCTCACGTCTGCTCCTGTCAGTCAACAGTTCACCACACCCCCTCAGCCTAAGCACAGCAATCAGCCTTCATTCCATGCACCTGTTCAGCTCTCCATTTAAGCTCCATGCTCACTCTCCACCGGGGCTGAATTATTCTGTCAGGATTGGGTTTTTGGATTCTTAATAAGCCAGACACAGGAGTGCAAAAACAAGAACAGTTTTTATTAATTAGGCTGCTGGTAGCTGGAGTCAGGGTCCAAGGCAGGAGTCCAATCTTAACAGACAGAGAGGGAAAGCGAGGCAGTTCAGGGTTGTGGTCCAAAGGGGTCAAACAAAAAGGTCAGAGGTCCAAGAATTTAACCAAAAAGGGTGATCCATGAATCATGGTCGTAGAGGAAGAGGAGGTCATTACAGTGATCAGAAGGACAGAGCAGAACCAGATGAGGAGCAGGCAAAAGGATAAATCCACAAGACAAGGCGTGAGGTCAAAAATCCAAATACAGGGCATGAACATCAAGCATGAACAAGATGGCTGGATATCAGGGACCATGGGAGGTATACCCAGTATATACCCAGTATCTGTAGTGTGCTTTCCTGTTGCACAATAGATGGTCAAATAAACTGTTTCTTTAACTTTGCTTGCTGCACAGAGATGGCGCAGCCGCAGAGCAGCCGATTTTAAACCCAAAGGTACTGGGATTGAATCCCAGTCATTCCAACATCCATCTGAGGGTGAATGTGTTAAACACTGCATGGGAACATACAATGAAGACAACACAAAGCACTTACTAATTATATTATTATCTGAAGTGAATAAAATGTTAAATTTTGATGTAGAAAATACGTCTATATTGACCGTCCAGTGGACGTCGGAAAAAGACGTCTGTCGTAACAGTCTGCACCTGGGAGGGACCCAAATTAGACGTGCAAAAACCACTTAAAAAAGACGTCATTTAGACGTCTCCTTGCTCAGTGGGAAGTACGCAAAGGCGAGTGGTAACACAGGTGATGCTGTGCATTCCTGATTTTGGTGCACATGCATACCTGCGTAAGAGTTATGTGCACCCCAGGACAAGTTGACAAAACTCACTCAGATTTTCTTTTTCTCCTGTTAGACAGATGGAGAAACTTGTTGCCAGTTTGTCGAGAGGAAAAAAAGCCAGTAGCATTTAAAAGCAGATAGTCCTGACAGCTGTGGCTCATGATGCTGCTGTCAGGTCAGCTCGGTCCTGTTTCCATGTCAGCCCAAGGATGAAAAATCTTCGCTGCTCAACATGGAGTCGAGCGCTGCGCTCTGTTGTGCATATTTATTACAGACAGGATGTCTGGACAGTGGAGCTTACCAGGCCTGGGATTTCCGTCTGGACATGCTCTGCCTCAGCCACTTTGAGTGCGGGGTCAGGTGGTAGATCAGCTGCCTGCAGATCTTATCTGAAGACTTTATTATGTCTGCGTCCTGTTAGGAGGAGAGCAGAAAGAGTTGAGGATGAATCACAGATAACCAGAGAGAGGATATACTGTAAAGAAGCACTTTTATCACCCGCCAACACCACAGGCAGATGGCAACATGTTTTTGTACACGTGTTTGTCTACTGTTAGCAAAATATTTCTTGAATCGCTGAATGTATTTAAAGAAAATTCAAAAAGTAATTTTTGGCTTTACATCTAAAATTGACTACCTTTCAAACTAAACAACCTTAGCCCTTACTAAAATGGTTACATCTCAGTGACTTTTAGAGACACGGAGCTAAAATTTGGTGTGGTAGTAGCTGAGAGTTATTTATAAAACATACTTTAAGCACTAACAGATTCTGTGAGCTAATGCAATATTGCATGTGATTGTGCGTGTTGTTACTTTCAAGATTTGAAAAAAGGTCCATGTTATTTATCACTGAATGAAAGGTGGTGCAGGAAGAGCTTTCCTTTAAGGAATGCAACGCCTTTAACCAGACAAAGATTCTCTGAACGTGTACAAAATAAATACTAACGTAAATAAATAATAAAATAAAACATATTTGCAGTTCATCACACGGAGCCATTGATATTTGAAATGATAGTAAATTTCCTTAATTTCCTAAGACTTGCCAGGCTGTGATATCATTCTCACAAACAGAAAAATGTATTTTATTATTCTTAAAGCCTTGAGCCAGAGCTGAACAAAACTCAATTTAGCTGCCTCACTGGAGCCAGAAAATCTAATCACATGCAGAGTGCACTGGGGTGGGGGGCGGGCGGGGGGCAGTGGTGAAGCACAAAGGAGAGGCCAGCTTCAACACAGCCAGAAGGACATTTAGTGAAAATAATGGTGACTGCTGCTTATATCAAAACAGTTCAAGATTCACCTTTTGTGACTAAGAAATAAAAGATAAACCATTCAGCCAGTTTACCAAAACAAGTTTAGATCTTATGTGGAAAATGATTTATTGAGGCTTTTGTTCATTGTAAGATTTTAGCTTATAAAACATTCAGCAAACTGCATCAACTGTAGTATTAAAGGGTTTATTAGCAGCTACTTTTGATTCTAAACCCCAAACATATTAAATGTATTTAACATCTGTCTGCAGAAAGCATCCTCATATTAGGATATATCTCAAAGGAAATGTTGATGTTTTATTACCTGGAGGTGAAAGCTGAATGTTTGACAATGTTTATGTCCCTCTCTGCATTATATCTCATGAAACACTGAACACATTTTAATGAAACTCTCAAAATGTCATCTATTTATGTACATTTACAACAGATTAACATTTAGAGTCTGAATTATCTAAAATGGCAGCCACAATCAACTGGCCTTAAAAAAATAGCTACAAATCATTTTTACAGACATTAAGCTAAAATTTAGGTTGCACAAAGATCTTTGTTTAAAATTTAGTCATACAGTAGTCCCTTGTTTATCGCGGGGGATCTATACTCTGAAGACCTGCAATAAGTGAAAAACTGCGAAGTAGGAATAGTAGTACAAGTAGTAGTTTATTTTAGTATATATATATACTGTATATAAAGGGCTTTTAAACACTTCCTACACTCTTGCAATATTATAAACAATGTTTCTAAACTCTAAATGCTCTAAAAGATCACAGAATGTCATGATCTCTGCTCTCACTGCGCTCTCGGCCACGCCCACTTCTCCGCTGCAGAACAGAGATCGACAGAGGAGGATGGAGGATGGAGGAGAAGCTGCAGGAGAAAGTTTCTCCTACAGTGTGGGCTGCACACAGGTGCAGCAGGTGCCAAATAATTTAAAATAATTCATTTTAAATAAAAATTCCATGCCGATCGTGTGGCTCGTCCATTTTTCAGCCAATTGTATGTCATGTCCAATCTTATTTTGAAAAACCGCGATAGAGCGAGTTCGCGAAAAAAGAACCACGAAGTCGCGAGGGACTACTGAACACTTTTTGGAGTCAACTCTGTCTGTTATTGAAATATCTCATGAATAACTTGACAACAATTAGTGAAACTTTCAGAAATTAATCAGTGGCTATACATTTATAACTCACTATCATTTGTAGTTAACCAAATACAAGATGACTGTCATTGAAAAAAGGAGATTCCCAAATAGACCAAGGTGTAGTTCATCAGATTTATTTCCTAAGCTTTGGAGAGCAGTCCAACATTCACAGAACATGCATTTACAAGATCACACTCTGTGTGAAACCCTGACCTGCTCTAACTTCCCGAACCGGACAAGTCAGTTTTATAGAATAACCTCCAGTCCAGGCCTCAGCTCCTCCCCTCCATGTCCGAGCCGTCATCGAAAGGTCCGCTTGCAGACAGGAAGGAGTGGATCTGAGTCAAGGACTCTGCTTGAAGGCACGTCACCACATCACATCAACTCTATCGTAACAATATCATATCAATCAACCCTTGAGGATATCAACAACCAGTGCCTGCTGCTCCTCACTGACTGGTCACAGTAAGAGTGATTACATGGGACCGTTAATATCACACACATCACAAACATGAGCAAAGGACATTGCCGAATGTTCCCGCAGGAGAGTGATTGATCATGATGAGTGCAAATAATACACATTACACTGACAATGACAACTACAGCAAACACAAAAAAAGTCTACCACTTACTTGAATTTTACAAGTTATGAGTCCGTTATCAAAGTTTTACCCAAAATAGATACACATAAGTTTAAAACTCTGGCATACAAGGCATCAAGTGATGTGATTGCACAAAGGGTCAGGCATTTAATTTGTAGAAAGTTTTGTTTGTGGGACGCAGAAAGAACGCCCTGATGTTTGTGCGCACTTGGACGTGTCAGGATGACTGGATGGAGGGAAGTACTGACCTTCTTAGGACACTGCATCTCTCGGGCCAAGCTGAGCAGCAGCTCGTGGGAGATCGGATCCACCAGGTTGAGGAAGGCAGCATTTTTGTACAAGATGTCGTTCAGTGAGGTGCCCTCCAAACCCATATCCTACCAAAGCACAGCAGAGGAATCAGAAACACAGAAAAACGTGACACTGGGACAAAAAGAGCTCTTTTACCAGTCTTAGATGAAAAAATACGCTTCAAGGACAGAAATAGGTTTGTTCTATCGAGGGCATTGTGACTCCAAACGGAGAGATAAAAAGAGGGTTTTGCTTTAAATATTCATTAAAAGAGACAAGACTCTTTCATCCACAGTGGACAGTTAGATCTAAAGGGAGTCACTGGGAACGCTTGGCATATATATTCACTCACTTATGGCACACAGAGCACAAACTGGGAGCAAATCTTCACAGGCAATGTTGCAAAAAGCTTTAATTTATTGAACTGCATGTTATCTGTATTGTATATCCATCTCTATGAAGGTAATAATAAACATATTAGACTTTTGCTTTGAAATGTTTAAGTAAATCTGTGCAGCGTTCATGAAGAAGTCAGAAATACTGATTGTTTTAACTTCTTGTTGTGGCACTTTACTCTTAAATGTAAAATATCTAAACAGAGCTGCAGTAAAAAAAACAAAAAACAATGTAAAACAACAAGATGTCAGTTTTTTTCAGTCCGCTGAGACGAGCAGCAGTCAGCGGTGCAGCTGTGCGCACCCAACTGGACAGTTTGCCCTCATCAACATGTCCGCCCTCAAGGTCCTAATGAGGCAAAACGACAAGCGCCTGTGCAGCCCGCGCAACTTTAATAAGAAAAGGACGCCTTTGAGACGTACAGCATGCACACCTGCACAAAAGCATCACATTCATTTCCTCTCCGACACATTCAGCACAGATCGTAAGAGACAGCCTGAGTGGGAGGCTGGCAGCTCCATGTTACCGGCTCGCCTTTTTAACGAACGCAACGGTAAACACTGAGCAGAGGCGAAGCAGCTTCTGTCTCTCTGAGCAGCAAGGTATAAAAATACACCCCCCCTACCCCCAATCTGTCTGCGTACAGACACAATCAATTGTCATTTGCAAGCGTGACATGAAGGAACAAATCCATTCCTCACATCTGCAGGAGACCTCAGATCTTTTTTATTTATTTATCTGAAGCAGAGCTCTCCGTCACAGAATTACTTCTGCAGCAAACACCTTTTAAATTCAAACGGCAGGATCTGTGTGACAACTATGTAACGCAAGGAAGTCATAAGAAAAGTAGAGGAACTGAGCTCATGCTCCCAAGGGACATATGTGCCGTGCAGCCTGACCTTGCAGTTTATCCTTTTGTTTTGATTAAGAACGTTCCACTTTCTCCTGCGTCGAATCAGAGTAATTAACGAAGGACTGGGCAGCAGCCGAAGGACAGAGGAGAGCCCTGTGGGCAAGAAAACAATGAGATCCTGGAGGACCGTGTTTTATCTCACATGCACTTATTCGCTTTGTTTTATTGTGCTTCCCAGACTTTTCAGCTTTCGACCTACAATCGAAGAGTTGAAGAGGCTTGTGAGCCCATTTCAATTTGAAGTAAAGAAACGTCACAAACGAGCCATTTAACAATCAGCCTCATCAACTTTGATATTATTTTTATTCAGTTTAGAACGGGTCTGCAACCTTAGCGATAAAAAGAGACATTTTTGCCACTTTGCTTACTAATTATGATGTCCGGAGCCGCAAAACCTGCTGCAACTGTGCACTGGGGGTGGTATTATAAAATGAAAAATGTTTAACTATTATTATTATTACATTTTAATACAAAAGAAACGATTAGATTCATGTAAAGAATTAATTTTTAAAAAATAATTTCTAACAATTTGATAAAAATTAAAACACTGAACTCTGCAGGTTGATGTGAGTTCTCTTAATTGTTGAAGAATTAAGTTTCCTACTTAAAGCATAAAGTTAAAGACAGTTTAAATTAGGCTAGTTTGTACATTTTTAATGAAAATAAATACTTTTGTTTACGTTGACATTGTTTTTTGTGTTTTATTCTTAGTGTTATAAAAGTTACCCACCATATTCCTTCTCAGCAGCTTGTCTTAAAGATATTCCAAAACATTTCTGGTGGTTTTGAGAGAAAGATCACGCTGTGAAGTTGACTTAAAAGATGCTAACAAACTACTAGCATGATGTTTTATGCCTTGTATTTATACTATTCTTCACATATTTGAAAATAATAGGAAATCTGCTCAAACTAGTCGTTTTCATTGTTGGCAATAATTTAAATAAAATTCAGTTTTATTTTAGTTTTGGGCAAAGCCTGAAAGAGCCGCTGCAGAGGGACCAAAGAGCCACATGTGGCCCCAGAGCCGCAGGTTGCAGACCCCTGGTTTAGAATATCGTGGCCGCGATAGCTCAGTGGTCAGTGCTGCCGTCTCATAATCCTGAAGCTGGAGATTCGCGCTCAAGTAGTGTCAGGAAAACATCTGCCGAACGTTTTGTACGAGTTCGCTGACTCTGATGATCCCTGCAGAAGGAGCAGATGAATTAAAACAACATTCATTTATGATTATTGTTTTCATCTCTTTGTAACAGTTGCTTGCCAAATTTAAACTTCTTGTGCAACCTGCTAGTGCTCAGACGTGTTGGGGTTCAGGCTCAGCTACTACTACACCACGTTTTAGCAAAACAACATGCAAAATTGACCTTTTTGTGATTTTAAGGTCAGTTAACCAAGACAGCCATCTTAAATTTGATTAGTCTCAAAATGCCAATCAGCTGTAGATGCACATCTGCTGATTACTTTCTGCAAGTTTCATTAAAGTCTGTCCACTGATTCATGAGATATTTTGCTAACAGACACAGGCACATGGGCATTGTCACTTTGCCCTGTCTAAAACAACAGTGTGTAGCACTGCCAGCACAAATGATTCCTCCTCGTAGTAAGAGTAGACGTCAGGAGAGTTACGTTTTTCATCAGAGGAAACTGAACCGCAGGGATTAAACTGTTGCTGCAGTAAAGACCGACATTAACAACAGAGAGAGTGAGATAAAGAGGTCATGCCAGCGTAATGGGAGCATTAGAAGAGCCCGAGGACAGGTAGGATCCAGGCTGCAGACGAGAAACAACAACAACAACAACAGATGCAGAGTGGGTGAGGAGGGGGGAGCTGGAGGTCTGGAAGCGGCCACATCCCATCCCATCTGGAGACAACAAAATCAGGGGTAATGCAGTGACTCACAGCGTGGAGTTTGACCCCTTCCTCATTTGGAGGCAAACAAATCTATCCTTTCAGATCTCCTGTCAACAGAAAGCACGTTTACCCACAATGCACTGTGAGTGAGTCACATGCTGCACAAGTACACAGCTCTGAGAGAGTGGCCTACTTTCTGTACACACAAATGCTCCGGGAGGAAGTGGAGCAGGAGGCCACACGTGCTCAAGGGTCACCTAGAGATAGAGATGGATCAGGGGTCAAAGGTCAGAGGACAGAGACCTGCAGGGTCAACGGACAAGGAGCACACTCAAAGAGTTCATCATCTGTTGCTCTGGAAAAGGTTGCATTCACGCGCATCAGGAGCTTTAAAACAACAAACAGATGATAAATGTCTCTGACTTGAAGCCCCCCCCCCCTCCCCCCATCCCCCCTCACCTTCCTCAGTAATTTGAGCACGTCCGTCGCCTGCTCCATCCTGCGCTCGCGCAGCAGCTTCTGGATCTCCTTGATCCACGCGACCCGCCTCACGTACGGGCTGTGGTTGGTCCTGCGCAGCATCCCCGGCAGTTTGTCTGATTTCAGCATCAGCGCAAACAGAAAGTCCCCCCCGCCCCGGCCGCCCCCCCGCTCACTCTGTCCGGCGCCGTCCAGGAGCCTGCGTCTCTTCCTGGAGAAATCCTCATTGTCCAGGCTGCCCTGCCTGCTCAGTCTGGACCCCATGGCGGCGAGCTGCGCGTGCACAGGAGCAGAACTACAGAGAGGACGGAGCCATGAGCAGCCCCGCTTGTTTTTCTGCAGAGGAGATGTTGGGAAACAGGAGTGTGTCCGTCGGTCCGCTGCAAGCACACGCACACGCACAGCCTCACGCCCAGACGGTGAAACCAGCCTCCACCGAATCACGCATCTGGCACGGTTCTGCTTCTGGGATGCTTCGTCCTCGTCCGTCTCTGCTGTTTACGCTGCGATTTAGTTTTTTCTTTTTTCTTCTGCAACGTGGAGCGTCTGACCAATCACAGCATCTGCTGCCAGCTGAGCGTGCCCCCTCCCCCACATCTCACCCTCCCTGGCATGAAAATCCCCTCTGAGCCGCTCCACGGCAGATTAAAATAATTAACATTGTCAGTGTTAAGTTGTATTATCCCATGCGATCAAAACACAGCAGGCCTTGTCCAAGATTCAGCTGACCCTTGAAGACTCTGCAAGAAATGAAATCCAACATGAAGGTTCTTCTGATCTAAACGGGCACTTTGAAAAAGATGGTTTTCCAGAAGTAATTTTGAAATGTGTGCACTCAGTGTAAACAAAGCATGGTTGAATTTATTAAAAGCCACGTGGAAGCTCCAGACACATGACTGGTTCTGCGTGGCTGAACAAATATGATAAAACCGGACAAGTAAGGTGTTTAGGTGGAAATATAAAACAGAATCTGGTGCTAAACACAAAAAAGAAAGAAAAAGATCAAGTGAGACAACTGTCTGGTATAACAGGGATCTGACAGGACAGTGGAGCACCATTAAGACAAAGCTCTACATTCAAGCACGAGTAGCTTTTGTGAAATTTCTTCTAGACTGGGATGTTAGATTGAATGACAACCTCAGCTGGAGCAACAACACCACCAGCCTGATCAAGAAAGATCATCAGAGACTCTACTTCCTCAGGCGGCTGAGACGAGCTGGTCTGGGAAGCTCAGTCCTCACCTCCTTCTACAGGTTTGCAGTGGAGAGCATCTTGTGCTCCAGCATCAACATGTGGCATGGAGGCTGCACAGCTGCAGAAAGAAAAGCTTTGCAGAGAGTGGTGAAGGCTGCACAGAAGATGTTGGAGTCAGTCTCCCCACAATTACACCTCCAGATGCAGGAAGAGAGCCACCTGAATCATGAAGGACCCCACTCAAAGTCAGAGAGATTTATTTGTCATTCACATCTCATGTGATATCCAAGAAAGTTCAATCTGGTCCTCTGGACATTCAAAAAAACAAAAAACAAAACAACGACTGAGTCGAGACTGAGGAAGTCTCTTGGATGAGAGACGAAACGTTTCTACATTTTATTTTTTTGCTTTGTTTTGTTTTTTGTTTTTTTGAATGTCCAGAGGACCAGATTGAACTTTCTTGGATTTTTCTACCTGGATTATTGAGCATGCATCAGGATATCTCATGTGATACATATGGTGGAACGAAATTATGTACACAGGATCCCAGTAACATCCAACAATAAAATGTTAAAGAAAAACAGTGATAAGTTCTAAGATACAATATATACAATAAGCACTAGTAGCATAAAAACATTACATCAAACAGCAGCACGAACTTGAATCTGTGTGAGCAGATGAGCACACATGAACACAGCAACATGAAACAGATCAGCAGCAACATGAAACAGATCAGCAGC